TTTTTGAAGTGAACAAAAGGTCAGATGTTCAACTCTAAACAGCATAGAAATGACCATCTCTGTGTAATTCATGTTGTGGAAAAATGAGCCACAAAGTCTGCAGAAGCAGAATTGTTTGGAAATAAAAAAATATTTCCACAACAATTGATTTTCTAGATACTTCAATCAAATGTTGATGTTGAGATATCTCACGGGAACAAAGACGCATCTTAACATACGAGTGCTATATCAAAATGTGATGACTGAACAATCAGTATAGAATCAGCCGTCAGTAGAATCTTAATGGTATATTTACACTTACCACTCAAATACTAGCTTAAGCCCTTTGACAAAGAACTATTGGGCACAATGGGACCAGTTGAAGCTGAAGATGGTATTCTTCTCCGGAGATGGGAAACTGCAGATGGAAAAGTGACGACCTGGCAAACAGTGATACCGAGAAAGTTACGGGAAGTTGTGGATCGTCAATCCCATGATAGTTTAACAGGAGGACATCTCGGAGTTAAGAAGACAAGATGTGGAAGAATGGTGCAAGACCTGCAATACATGTTGTGCTAAAAGAGGACACAAGAATAAGGGACGTACTCCAATGAAGTTATATCAAGTTGGCGCACCAATGGAAAAAGTAGCCATTGACATTGCTGATCCTTTGCCCCATACTCGTGTTGGAAACAGGTACATTTGTGTGGTGATGGATTATTTCCCCAAGTGGCCTGAGGCATATGCAATACCAAATCAGGAAGCTGCAACTGCAGCTTCGGCTATTTGTGATTTCTTCTTCAGGTTTAGTATGCCATATGAACTGCATTCATATCAAGGCCGTAACTTTGAATAAGCTGTGTTCCCTGAATGCTGCAAGTTGTTTGGCATACGAAAGACCAAGACAACGCCACTTCACCCACAGTCTGATGGGGTGGTACAAAAGTACAATTGGACAGGAATTGGCAAAGTTTTGTAATAGCCGCCAAGATGACTGATATGACTTACTCCCTCCACTGTTGTTGGCCTATTCAACAGCAGAGCATGAAGCCACTGGATACACTCCAGCAAAGCTGATGTTTGGTCGGGAACTTAGGTTACCAGTGGATCTGACGTCCTGTTACACATTTTCAGGCAACTCTTCGTAAGGTGGGTCAGAGTTTGTGAAAGTGTTATCTGAAAGGATGGATGATATTCATCATCAAGTGCGTTCAAACTTGAAAACGTCTACTGATTCCATGAAGCTATGAAGTCAGATTTGTACCAGGAGACAAGGTGTGGTTGTGTAATCCCAGGAAGATCAAAGGGAAGTCTCCTAAGTTGTCTTCTCCATGGGAAGGCCCATATGACATAGTGGATCTTCTCTCAGACGTGACTTTCGGATAAAATGTGGTCGGCGAGGTAAGCCAAAAGTGGTGCATGCCAACAGGCTTTGGCGTTATCACTGTCCAGGACATTTCAATTGGAACAAAGTGAACAACAGAACAAATGATGCTGCTGAAGACGTGTCACCTGAAAAAGCCACTGTTGAAGAAGAAGAAACTACCCGGTTTTGAGAGGGAAAACAGTGAAGCCATTAATGAAGTTTAATGTGATTGTGGAACTACTGTGTACTAAAAGTTTGTATCCAGGAAGAATAAACTGGTTTAATCAAGAAAGGACTTGTATCGCTGAAGATCCTCGGAAAGAATTTCTACCAGAAACAAACAAACAAGCAGGTACGTTACAGTATAATTGTGATTACATTATAGGCTATTATAATACACATTGACACATGTAAGGGTGGGAGCTTTGCTCAAGGTTTGTGGCACGTGCAGGAATTTACATGACAGTGTGCACAATGTAATAGCTCTTTGTTGTTTAGAGAGGTGAATATATATCAGAATACTTTTAGGTAAGGAAAATTTTAATTTAAGTTTTATATTAGCTAGGACTTGGTAAACCATTCCTTTCCTAATATCAAGTTTTATCAATGTTTTATTTTTTTTAAGGAACAAAGAAATGAGTTGAAAGCTGTTTCTATCATTTCACACCTTTTGGGAATATAATCCTTCCTTTATTATTGCAGGCTACAACAAGAAAAAGAAACATTATGTAGTTTTACTTGATATAGTGATGTTAATTTGTTTAAATACTAGTTTTATGTATTTTTCATCATTAAGATCTCCTATTGCAAGGCCTTAGAAGATGCAGCATTACTGTCTAGTAATTTGTAACTGGTTAACAGTAATGGTGCTGTTACTTTGGTGCACACTTGCATTAGTGATAGAGTATCTGTTAGATAATGAGAACAGAAAAACATTGTTTACATCAATTTTAAATAAGATTTGTGCATGTTTTATAGTTTTGCACATTATGTTCAATGGATACAATACAAATATTGCAATTATGTGTGTATCTTTTGTAGGGAGTGACATTTCCTGCCATGCATGCTATGATAGCACGATGGTCACCAAAGTCTGATAGAGCAAAGTTAACAGCATTTATTTACAGTGGCTCACAGATTGGGACAGTTATTTCTATGCCAATTTCTGCTTTGTTGTGTGATTCTGAATTTCTTGGAGGCTGGCCATCAGTTTTCTATGTCTTTGGTAAATGAAGTAAATTATTATTAGTACAAGTAGTTATATGTAGTACATTTTCTGTAATCAGATGATATTGTATTAAAGAAAAAAATGTTTAGTAATAAACAGTAATATGTTCTTGTTATGTCATTTTAATTATGAATAGAACATACAAGCTGTAATGATGCTGTATCATTATTATTGTCCACTACATATGAATCATACCACTACATAGTAATGGGCTTACATTAGATGTATTAGTGAGTATAACTTAGCGATTAGTGGAAGTTGCTAACCAGTTAATTGTCAGTCTGATTAATTTATTACCTTCAACAAATTAATAATTCTCATATGAGATTAATGTTTGTATTTCTGACTTTTTAAAACATTTTCAATGTACCCTTCATTTAATATTAGAGACATCAGTAAAACAATTTTGAATAAGTTGCTTTTTTAATTCTAAGCTGTTGTACATCAAAATATATCATATATAGAATGTAATACAAAACCCATAATAAGCTGAAAATACAATTAATACCGTTCCTTATAAATTAATGACATAATGGTATTACATACTTTTAGATTGTTATTAGTTAATGTATAATATTGTGTTCAACACAGTCAAATGAGCAAGTTATTCAGCAACCAATATATTTTGTGAATAAAGAATAATGTTGTGTTGTGTGTAAGTTCAGTTGGTATGTATTTGAACCTAATGGGTTTGATTTATGATAAAGCTACTAAGACTGTCTGCTATCATCAGATAGAAAACAGAAAGAATGCAGCACCAACCTTCAACTCTTAGGCTACTCTCCTTGCATATTAATAGGCTTGATTGTCACATTACAATGCCCCCAGACTAATATAGACTGGTGGTGAGGGTGGTTGCCTCGTGCATTCCATACTTGATGCCACCAAACATGTTTGCTCTTTCAACTGTAAGGGAATCATTGCATCACAGTCAATTCCACTATTCCTTGGCAGTAGATGCTGCTGGCTGGATGCCTTACCTCTGATTAGCAATTTAATATTATGAACTGTTCCAGATAACCTTAGTAGCTTTTCCATAACTCAAAAACAAAGAAACAAATATAATGCTCTCCTGGCTAAAAGGACAACCATGTTTAATGTCAACAGGAATCGATTCCTAGCCCTTGAATTTTGAGGCAACCTCCCTAATCAACAGCCCATGAGAGGTCAAAGCTGAACAAACTTAAATAATCAAAAAAATAATAATGAGAGATGTTATTGGCAATATTTTGATTACTTGGATAGTTGGAATAATTACAATTAGTAGTAATTGGAAACCCTGATTATTTTTGTAACATTAACATATTTGCCAACCCATTTTGGTGTCTTATAGTTATTATTACTATGAAAATTTATAATTTTCTTAAATTACCAATAGAACTGTGTGAGAAATCATTCTTTAATGAATAATTGCTAACACTTTAAAGTTGTTATGATTGCATATTGTGCATCTAGGCTTTCTTCCAGACTGGATTTGGTAATTGTCCTACAAAATGTGTTTCCTCGCAAATGTTTATATTTACCATGACTTTTGCCTTATTGTAGGTAGTTGCTATCTTAGAAGAAGGAAGTTGTGATATTTATACAATTGTTTATGGGCAATGATACAGTGGTGTATCACTAGAAGGAACTGAAAAGGACTACAACAATGATAATGATATAATGATACTTGTTTCAACAACAACAACAATTAAAAAAAAAGGAAACTCAGGCACGAAATTGAATCCCTAGTGAATGGTAACACAGTCACAGGCTTTCTAAACCAATAAAAAAAAGTCCCTATGGCCAACCTGTCATGTATGTGTTAATCGATTTAATCATAATGTCAATTAACTAATCATTATATGTGACATACATTAATATAACCAATGCTCATAGGTAATTGACTACATGTATTAATTTAATCATGTCAATCACACAGATTTATTGGTGAACTATCATTACCTAATATACAATGACAGTTTATCATAATTGAATAACTGCTTTTTAAAATGCAATATTTTCATATGAAACCAGAATATGTTTACATAAGTATATAGTAAATTTTACCTCTAATTATTTAAAAACAATTCCATACAGTGTTTCTTATTACATGATGTAACAGTGGAAGACACTTGAATTACTTTCAAGAGGCTTGAAATGTTTGAATAGTCACAACCATTATGTGAGTTTTCTTTCCAGTTAAAGAAACATTAGAATTAAGTTTCAGTTCAACATATGTATACAAGTCATCCTCACTTAGTAGAGCATGTACTCATACTCATAGCTTAATGAATTTTGTCATATTTTATACATGTACTTTAGTTAACATTAAAGAATACACCCAAAGTTAATTTCAGCCATAAAAGTTCACAGTTTTATTTGTCGCTTAATGTTTTCATTTTATATATTGGTGAGTTGTTTCAGGTGTATATTATTTATCAATTATTATTATGTGTTGTGCATTTGTGTTTCAAGTATATCTGAAATACCATGAAATGAATGCTTTTCTTTTGGATGATTTGTTTACTCATTCTTATTATAGGCATTTCTGGGTGTGTGTGGTTTGTTCTCTGGACAGTTTTTGTTTATAACACACCCAGGGATCACCCAAGAATTTCAGAGGAAGAGCTAAGTTACATTCAGGAAGATCAAGCAGAAGAAAAAGCTCACAAGGTTTGTTGATACTGAAAAAAAAAAAATGTTCATGTAGCCCAACCTTTAAAACTTTAATTTATTCAAATAGCCTTTAAAATCCTGTATTTTGACTTGCTGAATCTTTATTTCATAATATTGAAGATTTCTGTGCTGTACAAAATTCTAATTCATTCAGCTGGACATATGCATATTGCATATATTCATACAATATTTTTTTGTTGCTACCAGATGTATATGTTTTTATTTTTAATGTTATAAGTCACTTTTACATTCATGCCATTTGAAATATTTTAAAGTTATTTTTAAGTCATCTGTGGATTGACTTAGATAAGAAATAAGAAACAAACAATAGGAAATACAAAATATGTTTTAGGTGTAGTGATGCACAGAAAAACCTGGCAGAAACAAATTCAAAAGTCTTTTAAGTTAACCCTTTTACTATGGGCAGCTCAATAAGCACATCATGCCCTTTTAGAGTTATTTTGAAAATGTTATTAAATAAAGTTACTATTACTTATGTAAGTATTACATAAAACGTAGTTTGTAATTAAAATTTTAATGTTATATATGTTTTAATTTTTCAATTTAAAAATAATTATATAGAAAAATGCAAAATATCAACTTTTGGGTGATATTGTGTTATTGCTCCATTTATAATTTATTATGCCTATCGTATAACATGTATAGTGGTTAATGAATCAGAAACTCAAATTGAAGATATTAACAAACTATAATGTAAAATAAGAACCTTCTACATCATTGATTTGTTGAGATGTCAATATATTTAGCCAGTCTAGTAGTTTGCCTCTTCCCACTACTCCATTCTTTGAAAACATCTTGTCTAGTCCCACTTATTTATAACCAATAGAAAGAGCAATTTTCTATGTTTCTAAGTCTGACAGTCGTTTGTAAATAGTTTGAAGGAAAAAGTCATAATTTCACCAAAACTGATGAAATGTGATGACCAAGTTGTTGTTTTGAAAAGAAAGTTGATTTTTCTAAATTCATATATAGCTCATTTAGAAATTCAAATAGATTACAGAGAATTTATGTGCACTAATATAATAAGTTGATAATTTTTTGTTTTTTAATATGTATATTTGAAACATACAAAAATTAACTCTCCACCCTCTACTTGGAAGAATAAACTAGGCTGTATCAATGAATGCAAATTTTGCATAGGTATTTTACTACATACATTTTAGAAAACTGCAAAAGTAATCATCATATATAAAATTGTAAACTGATTTTGACACATGAAAGGAAGTATCACTACTGCATATACAAGCGTATTGTTACGACAGCGGGGGTCACGTGACGCTAGTAACACGTCATATTCTCAAAGGTTTGTGAATGCTCGAGCATTTACTAGATTTCAGTATTCTTGTATATATAAGACTAGTAAGAAGTGACGGCAACAATGTAATTGAACTGCGGACAGAGAGAGAAGTATTGTTGAGTCAAGCACGTAAGTCATTCATTGTGAATTATAGCGTTTGTTATAGCGTGACTGTGAAAATTAAGTGTATTGCAAAGTTGTATTC